GGGGGGGGGGGGGTCAATGGAGGGGGAGGTTCAATTTAAAATTTTGGATTCCTTTCAGAATTGCAAATTAATTTTATCAAAATTGAAGAGTACAACAAATTTAAATCTTAATTGACCCGCAAGTGTTCTAATTGGCATGCCCAAAAGTAACGCTCTGAAGAGTGGGCGGTGCGGTGCCCTTCCAAAAATTGCTCTTTTATCTTAAGTTCCACCCCCCCCCCTAGCTCTCTCTCCCCAAAATTTTTTGGGGGCCTGAAAATTTGGGAAAAGAAGCGCTCAAGTATGAGTAATCAATAGACAAAGTCTGAAGAAATTCCAGAGGGGGGGCGAACAAAGCCGTTATTGCATCAAGCTCTTTCTGAAATTTCTGAGCAGAACAGGAAGTGAAATTTATCATAAGAACACAGAAATTAATACTGAGTGTGTACATTAGCTATAATTAAATGCGGTGCAGGATTTTCCGGAGTTCTAAGCTAGGCTCTCTGACTGAGTGTGGCCTGCTGACGAATTCCAAAAAGAACAGAATACACATAAGCTATAATTAAATGCGGTGCAGGATTTTCTGGAGTTCTAAGCTGGGCTCTCTGACTAAGTGCGACCCGCTGACCAACTCAAAAAAGAGCAGAGTAGGTGCATTTCTCTCAGCAGGACCTCACAAAAATATTCCAGTGCACCTACTGCTGCCAGAGCTGAATACTTGCCCTCTCAGTCCTGCACTGAAACTCAGGAGAATTGTAACTCAAATGGTAATATTTGTCATTTCTGCTTTTGTTTTTCCTTCAGAAAGGTGTTTTTCCTTCTGTGACAGTTATTCATTCAAGTAATGGTTAGATAATTTTGCTATTATACAGTTATTAACCCTAACATTTCTTTGGTGGATGTTATTGCAGCTACCTCATTGGCCGCACCTCAGAGATGGAGCTAATACTGTTCTTTGTAGTGCTGCGGAGGCCACAATGAGCGAGGAAAGTGAAACTGTCTCAGCACTAGCTTCTTTGTCAATGAACAGACAGCACTCTAACCACATTTTGTAAGTTGCAATTCTTCATATTAATTGAAATATTTTTTTTTTTTTTTTCAATTTTTTAATAATTTGTTTAACACAATAATTAACCGGTCCATGGGGGCCAGCAGTAGTTTTTGTGCAGTGCCACACTTATCCTTAAATATCGCGGCAAGTCGAGAGTTGCAATAAACTAACAAGTATGACCCACATGAGTGTGCCTAACAGGCACCATCTGGCACAGTTATATATATTTTCCGCTCTGTACCTCCAAATTGTACTTTACAGAATCTACCAAATAAGGTACATGCGGACGGCCTCTTCATTTTCATTGCTTTACAAGAGTCATTTAATCTAGTTTTCAGCGCTCTACTTTTAATTTAGGTGAACCAGGAATACTATGATTGCTATTTATTTTATTCATAATTAAATTTAAAGAATGGGTTATTTATTAATATTTTGCCTGAGAGACTGAGCATGATAATGTGCAGAAGAAAGAGGCAATTTACAAAGAACTATAACTAAGTTCGAAACCGAAAGTTCGGAAATAACGAAACAAACGGAGTCCAAGGTAACAAATCATGAGCTAATGAATGAAATAAAGAAAACTAGAATTACAAAATTTAAACTCACAAAAAATAAAATTAAACCACCGACACGTTTTGAGGCTCCCGCTCTCCAGCCCCTCCTTCAAGGTTGAATCCCGACCAGTTGTTGTTTGTTATTATTCTATTCATCTCCTTTAGGGATCAAGAAGCAAAGTGGGTATTCGTACAATATAGCCGTGGACTAGTTGCAAGTAACTGGAATTCTAATCGCTATGCACTCTTATGAGGAAATCCCGTTTTTCTACGCGCAAGTTCCCTTTGTGAGAGTAAAAATGAAAAGTTTTTATGGATGAAATGTATGGACAGCGTCGTAAAGTATGTGTTCTGAAACTCTCATCTGAATAGTAATCTTCCTTGATGAAATAATTGAGCTTTAAGTGAAGATCTTGATTGGTGAGAAAACTTTCTGTTCTTTCAACTGCACGAGATTTATATTCTCCCATCATGTTCTGTGCACTGAGACTAGTCTATTTTGCGCTCCGTTGCAACTTGTCCACAGTCCAAGACGCTTATCGGCTGGCTGGGAGATTCTATTGTTCTCTGCCATAAGAGGGGGGATGCGAGTATTCACTTTGCCCCTAGATTCCTAATCTCCTTCATTTTAATTTTTTTTATATGGGCTGCCATCTATCACTTTGAGCAGACAGTTTTGCAAACCATTCCAAATCCAAATTTACCAACTTTTCTCTATTCTTGTACATTTGCATAGCATCTGAGATATCTAGTTGCCTTCTATACAGGGTGTCCCAGAGCACCCTTATTAGGCCTTTTTCTCTGTTGATTTAGGTCGGACAAAGTCGGCGACCGCGGGGTTGAATTGGGAATCGACCCCAAAGAATCCGAATTTCATGGTCTCGGAACCGACCCCCCGTCTCCCTTGGGGGGTAAAGGGGGGTCACGATCCTGAAAGTCAAAGGAAACATAAAGAACATAAAGAAAACATAAGGAATCAGCCCCAAAACATTGATAAATAAAATAAACAAAAATAAAGAAATAAATAAAAATACTCTAACTTTTATTTTATTATAAGAATAAAAATTAATAAATTCTTTAGTTAAAAAGATGATAAAGTGTGAAATCGACCCCTAAAAATTCAAAACTGGACCACTCACGCCTAAAAACGAGTTCTTGAAGAGGGGGACAGCGGCCCCCTTCATAGTTTCCCTTTGGTCAATAATTGACGCCGATTCGATCGAATTTCGATTCGATTTCATTAGAATTGAAAAGTACGGAAAATTTCACGTGAAATCAACCCCTAAAAATCCTAAATCGGACCACTTTGCGCTCCAAAATGATCCACTAAAGAGGGTGACAGCGCTCCCCCCCCCCCCNCCCCCCCCCCCCATAGTTTTCCTTTTGTCAAAAATTGACGCAGATTCTCCGGATAAAGATGGTTCACCACGTAATAGACCCCAAGGAATCCGATTTTTATGATCCTGAGGCCTCCCAGGGGGGAAGGGGTAACATGGGGGGGGGAGGCACAATTTCCCCCGACTTTTGTAACTTTGCCCTCTCCATTAACCCCCTAAGAGAGACTAGGGTGGCTTCGGGACCATAAAAAGCGGATTCCTTGGGGTCGATCACGGGGTTAACCATCTTCATTCAGGGAATCTGTGTCAATTTTTGACCAAAGGGAAACTATGGAGGGGCCGCTGTCCTCCTCTTTGATGGATCATTTTTGTGCGTAAGTTGTCCAATTTTGGATTTTTAAGGGTCGATTTCACGTGTTATTTTCCGCACTTTTCAATTCTAATGAAATTGAACCGAAATTCAATCGAAAACCCCGATTTTTAGGATCGTGACCTCCCTTTACCCCCCAAGGGAGACGGGGGGGGGAGTTTCCAGACCATGAAATTCAGATTTCTTCGGGTCGATTCCCGATTCAACCCCGCGGTCGTTGACTTCGTCCGACCTAAATCAACCGAGAAAAAGGCCTGATACGGGCGCTCTGGGACACCCTGTATATCTGATTAGCAGTTTTCCTTTTTCCTCAAACCGATGCCCTGTTTCAAAAGTGTGCATTGCTACTGCTGATTAATCAATTTCCCTGTTTCTGATACTTCTTTGGTATTCACTAATCCTCATTTTCACTTTTCCTCTTGTCTGATCTATGTAATGCTTGTTACTGTCTTTGCATTGTAAACTGTAAATGCCAGCCCTATCTCCTTCTTCAACACTGTCCTTGAGGCTGCCATGGCAAGACGACTTCAAATTGTGTTTGTTGACTGGAACTACTTTCAGATGATATTTTCTAAACTCTTTTGAAATTTTGGAAAATGGATTGGATGATATTTGATTTTTTCATAGGTACCCCCTCCTTCACTTCTATTACCAAGGGTAGTCATTTCCATGTTTCTCCTTTTGAAATCTGCTTTTGCGAATTAAACTCTTTATAGCTCCCTTTTGAATGTCATGTTTTTCTGCGTTTTCTAAAATTCTCTATTCTTCTTGTTTGTGATTTTCAAGTGACAATGAAGCACACAGTTGAGTAAGCTGTTGAAAGTGCTTTTTTTTTAGCTTGAGAATTGTAAGAATTACTAAGGGGCCCTGCCCCCTGACCGCTACGCGGCCCAACCCTCGGGAGGGCGCCTGCGCCTCGCGCCCTCAGGCCCGCTTTGCGGGCCCCATATGCATATGTATAGGCAAAAATTTTCTTCCATTTTAATACACCATTCTGTGTTCGAGCTGCATCGATTTCAAAATTTTTGACGTAACACTCAAATTTGTAAATGATGAGGAATAGCTGGATGCACATAATTTCACAGTCCACTTACTGGAGAAATTTCCATTTATTATGTTATTTTTAAATACTTAATTTGAAAAAAAAAAAAAAAATCTGATTTCGACCGTTTAGAGTTAATAATATTTGGTCTGTCCCGACGCGACGCAGCGCCTGCCTTCTCACTTAGTATCTGCTGTTTATCTGCTGTAAATATTAATAGAAATTCAGCAATCAAGTTAATTGACCAATGCCACAAATCGAAGCCGGAAGAATGCAGGAAAAATTGAGTTAAACCTTACTCGGAAAAAAAAAGAATTGCTGATTCAGCAATCTAATGCTAAAAACAGTGAGTGCAATGTTTCAACGCAGATTTTACAACAAAAAAATGCTACTTTAACCACATTTTAAACTAATTTAACCACGGGGGTGGTTAAAGTAGCATTTTTTTGTTGTAAAATCTGCGTTGAAACATTGCACTCACTGTTTTTAGCAATTGAATCGCTGAATCAGCAATTCTTTTTTTTCCGTGTATACCTTGGACCTTGAACCTTGAACCTTAAACCCTGAGCGATGCACCGTTCCTCAACTCTTCGAATTAGGAGCCCTTCACGAGCTTTTCCATTGTTTTATTGTTTATTTGAGTCACTCAGGTAGAATCCCACACCGTAACGTTTCTAGCGGAAACGACATATCTCTCTTGCTATTAACATTGGACTTAAGTGACATGAACTTTAAAAGCTCTACAACATTAAAAGTTCGGAGTTTCATAATTTTTTGCACATCTACATCTACTACAGATGACATACATGTGAAGATCGTCCTTATCGGTCCGGCAGTTCGTCAGAGATAGTGCTTCCAAGATTTTGCTTGTAGCTGTATAATATAGATTACTAATGTACACTTCAGCATGTGTCTCTTTTCTAATAATTTCGAAGTTTAAAGTGTCACCATGCCTTTGCACCATTAAATAAAAAAAGAAGAGTTCGTTATTCTCTTCTATCTCACAAGTAAAATTTACAGATTTGTCTTGTAAGTTTAAAAACTTCAGGGCGTCGCCTAAATTTCTTTTCTACAAAATACTGAAAAATCATCTACTAACCTCCTCCAATAAAAAAAAAAAAAAAAAAAAAAAAAAAAAAAAAAAATTGTTAATTAGCAAACTAAATTCGTTTTTTTATTTTTTGCTCCATGTCACTCATTTAAAGTTGTAGGAGAAAGAGGGACAGTGGGTTGCCCATAGTTAGACCGTCTTCTTGTTCGTATATTTTACCATTGAACTGGAAATACTGGTTTTCTGTGCAAATTGTTTTGGTCAAAGAGGTGTGTGAAGAAACGGCCGAAAATGCCTCAAGGCATGCTCGAATTTTGAGCACTTGAGGCGATACAGTATCTTCTAAGACGCCCAAAACCGATCGCCGTTTTGCTCAGAAGCGCCGGGTTGCGACGTTGCCATTTTTTAAGTGGAAATTAAACCTTTAAAAATTCATATTTCCGCTGCATCTCAACCGATTTCAATGAACTTTTTTTAAATGTTTCTCTTAAATAGAGATTTCTAATGGGTTTACGTGGCTTTAAGTGGCATTTACGCGGTTTTAGCAGTTTTTGATGGACACAAAAATTTTGTTTTTATTTTACCACGATTGTGGAATCGACGGAATCTAAACGAATGTGGGGGGTAAATGAAGTAGGCAAAATTTCAAAAGTCGGGGGGAATTGTGCCCCCATTTTACCCCCCTTTCTCCCCACAGGACGGCTAGGGGGGCCTCGGGACCATAAAAATCGGATTCCTTGGGATCCATTACATGGAAAACTATCTTTATCCGGAGAATCTAAGGCAATTTTTGACCTAAAGGAAATTATGGAGGAGGCCGCTGTCCCCCTCTTTAATGGATCATTTTTGGGCGTGAAGTGGCCCGATTTCGGATGTTTAGGGGTCGATTTCACGTGAAATTTTCCGTACTGTTCAATTCTAATGAAATCGAATCGAAATTCTATGGAGAACCGCGTTTTTCAGGATCGGAACCCCCCCCCCTTTACCCCCCGAGGGGGGCTAGGAGGGGGGGTTCGAGACCATGAAACTCGGAATTCCTTTAGGTCGGTTCCCTATTTAACCCCGGCCGGGGTTATCGATCGAAGTTTGATTCGATTGCATTAGGATTGAAAAGTACGGAAAATTTCACGTGAAATCCGCCCCTGAAAATCCAAAATCAGACCACTTTACGCCTAAAAATGAGCCCTTAAAGAGGGGGACAGCGGCCCCCACCATAATTTGCTTATGATAAAAAATTGACGTAGATTCTCCGGATAAAGATGGTTTTTCATGTAATGGATCCCAAGGAATCCGATTTTTATGGTACCGAGGCCCCCTCTATCCGCCCTGGGGGGGGGGTAAATGGGGGCACAATTCCCCCCGACTTTTGAAATTTTGCCCACTCCATTTACCCCCCAAGGGAGACTAAGGAGGCTTCGGGACCATATAAATCGGATTCCTTGGGGTCGATTCCATGGTAAACTATCTTTATCTGGAGAATCTACGTCAATTTTTGATCAAAGGGAAAATATGGAGGGGGCCGCCGTCCCCCCCTTAAAAGGATCATTTTTGGGCGTTAAGTGGCACGGAAGATTTCACGTGAAATTTACCCCATAAAATCTGAAATCGGACCCCTTTTACGCCCCAAAATGATTCCTTTAAGAGGGGGACGGCGGCCCCCTCCATAATTTCTCTTTGAACAAAAATTGAAGTATAAGGATAAAGATGGTTTACCATGTAATCGACCCCGAGGAATCCGATTTGTATGGTCCCGAAGCCTCCTTAGTCTCCCTTGGGGGGTAAATGGAGAGGGCAAAATTTCAAAGGTCGGGGGGAATCGTGCCCCCATTTTAACCCCCAAGGGAGGCTAGGGGGGCCTCAGGACCATAAAAATCGGACTCCTTGGGATCGATTACGTGGTAAACCATCTTTATCTGGAGAATCTGCGTTAATTTTTGACCAAAGGAAATCTATGGAGGGGGCCGCTGTCCCCCTCTTTAATGGATCAATTTTGGGGCGTAAAGTGGTCCGAATTTGGATTTTCAGGGGTCGATTTCACGTGAAATTTTTCGCGCTTTTCAATTATAATGAAATTGAATCAAAATTCCATCGAAAACTCCGACTTTTAGGATGGCGACCCCCCTTTACATCCCAAGGGGAGCTGTGAGAGGGGGGTTCGAGACTACTAAATTCAAATTCCTTGGGGACGATTCCCCATTCAACCCCGCGGTCCCCTACTTCGTTCGACACAAATCAACCGAGAAAAAGGCCCGGCACGGGTGCTCTGGGACACCGTGTATTTATACCTATAATGACAATAAGGAAAAGGCTTTCTGGGTGTATTGCCTAAAGCTATCATTTTATTATTTTTTTCGAATTTCACTATCAGATTGTGCACTAATGTTTCCGAACTCAGTTTAGGTTTTATGTATGCGCCAGAAAAATGATGATGAGCTTCGGAAAATTATGAATTCCCTTGTAAACTTGGACTGAGGTTTTAGAATTGAGAAGAGGTGCTATTTTGCAACTCACATGTTACGTATCCTCGATAGATCGTTACCAAAATATCACCAAATGATGTAGGTAGAGAGTGCACCACAAGATTGTAGATTAAGTAGGTTCAAGTAAGCACAGATAAATAATTATGATTGCCTGCAAAACCACCCTTTTTTGCTCCTTACTCTACAATGAGAGAAAGTTAAATATCCTGGAAACAGATAGCCATTGGCGGCCAAGCACTGAACTGTAATCCCTGTATTTGGTTGGTTTAATTATACGGTAATTATGAACAAATCTAGAGGGAAACAGTAAACAATCCAGATGGTTTTTTTTCATATCCACAGATCGCATGGAACCCGGATACTTGCAATTACGGTACAAAGGTCTGATAGTATGTTCCAGGAATGTAACGGAATCTTCAAGCTCGAACTGTACGATTTTAAAAACCGTTCTTGATAATTGGAAACCGCTTGTTATGGTGCATTTTTACACTAAGCGACCACTTTGAATGAACAGTTCAATAGATGCCTTCACAAAAAACTGTATAATGACTGTTGAAAGTTTTATCACCTTGAGTTCCCTTATACAATTTTTTTTCTGTGGTTCATAATTATTTTATCTAAGTAGCAATGTCATTTCTTTTTTTCAGAAGCAGACATGCATCGCGAGAAACATCAGTGGAACCAATGGAGGAAGATGAAGAGATGATCTTAACCAAATCCTAGCTTGTTCAATAATTAATTTGTCGAAATGATGAAAGAAAAAAATGGGCGGTAGCCCATTAACTGTCGGCATTTTTCATCGAAGTTCGTTGGCTCAAAGATGCAAAGTGAGAGAAAGAACAGTGTAAGATTTTCTAGATAGTATGAGGCGTGTGGTGATGGCTAAATCAGTCGAGGATTCTGCGTTTGCCTATACTTGATAGTCAATGTCAAAATAATGAATATGGTCTTGTTGAAATCAGCTTCCTATATTGTTACTGAGGAGATTGATCAGTCGTCATGATTGATAGTTAGCAATTCACTGAGATCCATCATTGGATGCTTTGATAACATATTTTAGTGGGCTCACATGGTGAACCTGGTAAGTACATATTTCTCTGTACCTGCAACCAGTTATTGCGCAGTCTAGTATTTTCTCTATGCTGATTATGTTTTAAATTCTTAATTTATTGTTCCTCCCCCCTTTTTTCTATTTCTTAATTTCAATTGTTATTTGTACAGGATACTTTCGTAAGTGACTACATTGCAAAAATTTACCATAGGGATTGTTTTTCATTACCGATTTTTAAGCACTCATTGTGTGAATGTTTATCTTAATTTGCTCTATTGCTGTCCAACAGTTTTTGCCGTTATACAACAGGGGTTACTGAGAAATCACGAGTTTTCTTTTTCTGTTAGGAAATATTTCACTTATTTTTAACTCAACTCAATTTAAAATTGATATTCCATAATTCAATGTCGCACGCAAGCTAGTGGAGTGAAATTTGTAGCTATAATAAAACTGCGAAAGGGATTCTATTCTGCAAAGATTTTCAGATAAGTTTATCATAGACACTATGAAGAATTTCCGAGCGTAATGTAAGAGATACACTTTATTAATATTTGTATGTTCTCACATGAAATTTCGATGGTTTTAGTGGATAGCAGAAATAGGAATAATCCAGTTCCTCAATAATTTTGATGGTCTTAATAAAATATTTTGGAAGCCAAGAAAAATGTTTTGTGTGCGGTAGGAACTCTCTGCTACCTCCATTTTTTGTGTGCTCATGTAGAACAGGTTGATTCATTATGTTAAAACTGCAAATGGTAGTTACTGTTTTGCAATTTATGAAGTTTTCCAAAATTTTCTGTCTGTGACAGGTATTCACAATCACAGTGTGATGCACCCGAATGCAGCTATATCAGCAAATACCCTGGGAGTGCTGTTTTGAATGCCAAAAATAGTCAAAGTTAGGAGACCAAGGGTCTATTATAAGTTTATTTATACCGAGTGATCTAGACCACCTGTCCACCATAGAGAAAAAAAAGGAGGTGTTCGCATTTTAGGCATTTTGGATTTTTTTGATGACGGAGGTCGGTGAGGACGGTTTTTATCATCAATTTCCTTGAAAATGGTGTCGTTTATGGAAAAATGAAATTCCATATGAAGTGTTTTAATTATATTTTGAGTTGATCAACGCAAAAAAATCGGACGCTATGGTCCGTTTTTCATACTTCGAATTTCGGATTTTGCGAAAATATCGACGCCATATTGTACTTAACTACATTACAGGGTTAACAATACTCTAGATGCAAACACCTCCTTTTTTTTCTCTATGCCTGTCCACCATCTATACCTAGGAAAAAAAAGCTTTCCAGCCAAAGTGGTAAAGAATAGGCATATTCCGACTGAACAATTCAGTGAAAAATAAGTACCTTGTGAACTCTCAGAGTCAAAAAACATCTCCCTCTTGGACCTAAAATTTTCAGGAGAAGGGGGAGTGTTAGAGGATAGATGACTGCAGGTTATTTTGAAGGTCAGAACGAGACTAGTGTTTTGTGGTACCCGCGGCTAAGACGGGACAAATTAAAAAAATCATCCTCCCCTTGGACTTAAAATTTTTAGGACAAGGGGTAGTTTTAGAGGGTAGTTGAATACGAGCAAGAAAAAACACCAAGGAGAGGCCCAAACTGTATATAATAGGGTGGAGAAATGATGCTGGGTCTACACCATTTCGCAGGAAAGAAAAATCCAAGAAATTCCAAAAATTTTAAGTAGAGTCAAACACCAGGCAGCTAGCGTTGAGCTGAGGTGACTGAACACTCACACCATCACCCCGCCTCCTCAGTCTTGTACTGGTACTCATTAGAGCTCAAAAGTTTTTGACTCTAATTGAATAATTTTTGAAATTTCTTGGCCTTGTTTTGCCCGCGAAATGGTGTGGACCCAGTACTATTTCTCCACCTTGTTTATATACAGGGTGGCCCAGACCTACCGTACCAGGCCTTTTTTTTGGTCAATTTGGATCATACAAAGTCCAGGATCGCGGGGATGAACAGGGAATCGACCCCAAGAAATCCGAATTTCATGGTCCCAGAGCCCCCCTGGCGACCCTTGGGGGGGGGGGGGGGGGTAAAAGGGGGGTTCGTACTTCAAAAGTCAGGGTTAATGTCAAAATTTTGAAATTATTTCATCGGAATCAGAACGTAAGGAAAATTTTAGCTTAATTCGACACCAAGAAATCCACAATCGGCCCACCCGTGTCCAAAATACCGACCCCTAAAAGCGGGGGACAGAGCCCCCTTTTAAAAAAATTCAAGTTCGTTAAATTGACGTGGAGACTCGGAAAAAAATGTGTATTCATGGCTAATCGACCCCAAGGAATCCGAATTTGAGGGTCCCGTTGTCCACAGAGACTTTTCTGATGGGGCACAGGGGTAACCTCCACACCAGTTAAATTTGAAAGTTCAGAGCACCCCGTGCCCCATCAGAAAAGTCTCTGTGGACAACAAGACCCTCAAATTCGGATTCCTTGGGGTCGATTACCCATGAATACTCATTTTTTCCGAGTCTCCACGTCAATTTAACGAACTTGAATTTTTTTGAAAGGGGGCTCTGTCCCCCGCCTCTAGGGGTCGGTATTTTGGACTCAGGTGGGCCGATTTTGGATTTCTTGGTGTCGATTCAAGCTAAAATTTTCCGTACGTTCTGATTCCGATGAAATAGTTTCAAAATTTTGACATTAACCCTGACTTTTGAAGTAGGAACCCCCCTTTTACCTCCCAAGGGACGCCAGGGGGGCTCTGGGATCATGAAATTCGGATTCCTTGGGGTCAATTCCCTATTCATCCCTGCGATCTTGGACTTCGCATGACCCAAATTTACCGGAAAAAGGCCTGGTACGGTAGGTCTGGGCCACCCTGTATATGTATAAAAGAGGAGAAAAACACTAAGAAGTGGCCCGAATACTGTATGTAACAAGGTGGAGAAATGGTGTTGAGTTCACGCCGCGCCATTTCGCGGGCAAATCAAAGCCAAGAAGTTAATTTAACTAATTTTGAGTTAAGTTAACTTCTTTGCTTTGATTCCCCCGCAAAACGGTGTGGACCCAGAACCATTTCTCCACCCTGTGATATATATATATATATCACAACGTTCTGTAATATATTTTAAACTTGTTTTTAGCCTTGAGCCTGTACCTATATATTTATATATATATTTAAACAAAAATCACGAGTACTTTTCAACCTTTTTATTACATTTTGCAATCTTCACACTACATTGCTGCCACATTGGGCTTATTGTTATTGTTTGTGTTGATGTTTGTCATGTCTCCTGTTATCTTTAAACTGGTCTCTTGCTGTGACTAGACCGGGTTTCCGTGTTTTTCCTCGTTCAGTTATGAACACCTTGTCTGCCCTGAGGATGGAGAGAATTTGTCTCCGAAACGTCGGTTTGTAAAATGTAGTGTGAAAATTGCAAAATGTAATAAAAAGGTTGAAAAGTACTCGTGATTTTTGTTTAATTATTAATTATTACAACCGTGAACTTTTTATCTTATATATATATATATATATATGCACAAAATTACCTACATTTTTCAACTCTGCGCTTCCAGATTGATGACTAACCGAAAATTACGAGGTTTTGCTGTTTGCAATAGGTAGATATTTCTTTGAAATCTACCTAAGTAGGTCCAAGATGTAGATCTTAAACCAAGACTTATATAGGCTAATTCAACCCCAAGGGATTTCATAAGATAATGCTCAGGTCCCTGAATCTCCCCTCCCGAAGGGATTTTTTGGGTAGGGGATGTTGGTGCCCCATTTCTTGAGATTTTGAAATAGTAATAACTTTCTTTGATTTTAGATGCAGAATTAATGATAAACAAATTTAGAACTTTTTTTTCTACCTACCTTTCCCAAACCTTCTCTCCTTTTTTGACTCATGAGGCATATTTTAGAATTTCGAAGTAATATTCAATCAGACACTGCCTATTCGCTATTTCCAATACATTAATAGATTCCAAAAGCAGGGGATGAGACCTCATTTCCATGTAGCTCATGTCCACTTAACTGTAATATAGGGAGTGCCTCCAATGGGCATGTTGCACACTTTTGCTAGAGCAAAAATGAGAGTTGTTTCTATCAGTAAATGTCTCAAAATTAACGATGAATGCATTGGCAAAGTTTGAAATGCACTCTTAACTTCAAAATCTACATAAGAAATTTGCGTTTTTTTGAGCTTCCCGCTTCAAAAACGATACTACGACACAAGTGAACATTTTGTTGGAGGTGTCGTTCTACCCATCCCCTGTGCACCAGGATACTACAATATATTCAACATACATTGCCGACACCAATCCGCCAAAATACTTGTGCCTGGATGAGATTCTAACCATTTGTTAACAACCCAACGTGTTTACATTCTCGATTTCTTCGTGTTGATAAAGATCCGCTATGGATGACCTCGTGCTCCTGATTGCGATTTGCTCGCGGAAGCGTCGGCTATGTTGAGTAGGGATCTAGAAGCAAAGTGGGTATTCGCACAATATAGCCATGGACTATTCGCACGTAGCGGGATTTCAAATGGCCATGTATTCAAATGGGGAAATCCCGTTTTTCTGCGTGCAAGTTCTCTTTGTGATAGTAGAAATGGACGTATTTCTACCAAACGGAACTATGTGCATTAAGACATGAGCCCTGAGACCCATAATAATACACGCATAACAGGGCTCACGTCATAATGCACATAGTTCCGTTTGATAGAAATACGTCCAAATGAAAAGCTCTTATGGATGAAATGTTTTAACAGCGTGATGAAGTATGTTTTCTAAAACTATCAACGGAATATAAATTTTACTCGATGAAATAATCGAGCTTGAAGTGAAGGTCTCAAATTGCAGGAAAACTTACTGTTCTGTCAACTGCATGAGATTCATATTTGCCCATCATGCTCTGCGCAACGAGACTTGTCCATTTCGCGCTCCGTTGCAACTAGTCCAGGATCCGAGACTCTGATTGGCTGGCTGGGAGATTCTATTGTTCTCTGCCGTAAGAACGGGTATGCAAGTATCCACTTAGCCTCTAGATCCTTAATGTTGGGTATTGCTATTGTTAAAGGGTTGACTGGAACGACTCCTCTAACGAAATGTTCACCTGTGCCATAGTATCGTTTTTGAGGCGGGAAGCTAAAAAAACCAGAAATTTCTTGCGCAGATTGTGAAGTTAGGAGTGCATTTCAACTTTGCCAGTGCGCTCATCGTCATTTTTGAGACATTTCCCACTGGAAGCAACTCTCATTTTGGCTCTAGCAAAAGTTTGCCACAGGCCCATTGCCATTGTGCCTCCAAAATTTCGGGGATTTAGAGGCTTGCAGTTAATCAGAAGAGTTTATTTTGACTTCATGTTCAGATCCTTTTTTTTTTTTTTTTTTTTTTTTTTTTTTTTTTTTTTTAAGGAATTTTATTTAAATATAACGTAACTACTACTAGTATTTCCTTGTATCTATCTGTATGATTTAAAACTAAAACCAAACAAATTGCATTGAATTTACAGGGTAACATTAGATAATACAATGATTATCTAAAATAACAAGAATTATAAAATTCTCTGCCTTCTTTTTTAGAGATACTAGAACATAAAAGATTTTAGTTTAATTGTTCACATTCTTCCTTTTCCACTCCATTCACACACTCATTAATACTTCACAGACTACTTACAAAGTAAAT